ATGTACAGGTACAGCCTGTCCAGTAAACTCACCTGGAAATTTTGCCATTTTACGCTCAACAATCCTTGTGGAAGAACAATTTCGTTTACTTATCATTGGCCTATTGTCCTTTTTTTTGTGGATTGTGAGATTGAACCAAGGCAGAATTATCTGAAATTCTTAACTGAACAACTGTACACGCTGCTAAAAGGCCTGTAAATCAGCAGAGAAAACAAATTTAGCGATTTTACTTGCGGCTTAAGGAGTCTAGAAGAAACTAAAAATCATTAATTGTAGGCTGCGTGTGGCAGTGACGTGGCAACAGACTAGAACTAGACGATGTTGTGCTTATATGTAAGTATGTCATTGAATTCATAAGCCATGGCATTAATAAAGTTGTTTCATTTTTGTCTATTACAGTGTCAGGTTTAATCTCCAAATCCACTCAGACTATGTCATTGTTGTGTTTAAGCTGCTCTTGCATGAGGTCCAGTGTGTTTCTTTTAACGACCACTAGGGGGGAGGAAAGTCTTATTATTATCAAAATTGAACCACAAACTAAAATACAGTACTTTTTGAAAAGCCGTTAAAGTGTTCTAATCTACTGAAAATGGAATGTTCTTGTCCTTTCCGGCTCTCAGGCCCTGCAGGCAGCTTTCAACCTGCCCTCCAACGTGGATCAAGCCGAGGCCCAGAGTCGCTGGCAGGACGCTCACCTCAACCCCGACCAGAAGGACTTCAGCATGGCCGACCACAAGTTCAAAGAAGTGGCCAACCAAGTGAACAATGACATCAACAAGGTGACTAGCACCGCTGCAGTGAATAATCACTGATACACGACGTCTTTTTACGACTATGAGCACCCATCCTGCCAACATGGTGAAAAGGGAGCAGAAAGATAAGGTTGCTTCCGCTGCAGGAAATCTTCCAGGAGACTGAGATCTATTTTTGGAAGTTCCTGTGTGACGGTTTCAGTCCCGGGGATTTACTTTTAGTCAAACTGTCGGTTGAGAGCTACAGTAAATGAGAGGAAGCAACAATGAGCGAGCAAAACAAGTGAAGATAAAACATTTTGCGAGTAGTTTCAGTTATAGTCTTGTGGCTGCAGAAAGCACTCAGAGCCCTTCGCTTATACCACACTTTGTCTTGTAATTTTAAGTTTACATGTATAAAGTTGACGCATCCTCTATCAATCTACACTCATTACCCATAATGACAAAATGAAAACATGAGAAATGTTAATGAATTTCTATAAAAAATCTAAAGGAAGTACGTTGTAGGAGCTCCTTCGAGTCTTCTCTGGATCCTCTGGATTGAATGAAAATATGCAGAAATTATCCATTTATAATCCAAACCACAGTAAAGTAAAGGAGTCTGAATACTTTCTAAAGGTACTGTAAATAACAACAACCACAACACTGTCATGGCTGAGTATTTCTGCCTTTAAACTGCAGCGTCCTCAGAAATACAGATTTAGATTTCAGGGCTTTCATACATAACAAACATAAGGAACCAATCCTGTCAGCTTCTCTGTACAGTTACTCTTCAGAATCTGTTTCCAGTTCTAAACAGTATTATTTCAGTGTGTACAGACGTTAGACTACCATAGTTTTACGGTGTTTGAGCAAAGTTGGATGTTGAGCTGGTGTGCTTGAGCTGCAGCAAGTGGAGCGGGGTTGGTGCAAAGAGAGGTGGGGACTTCATACAGGAATCAGTGATGTAGAGTCACATCGAAGCCGTACGAGGGCAACAAAGAATTCATTTCAAGGAAAAAGCTTTTAAATATGGAACTTCGATGCACAGAGATCTTCGTCTTCACAGCTCTCAGTGTTGGTATTGATGCTGATGATGGTTTATTGTATGTTTGCAGGTGTGTATGCCAATCGGCCTGCACACCTCTTTCCCAGACAACAACCTCCAGCTGATGGTCCAATCAGGAGCCAAAGGTTCGACAGTGAACACGATGCAGGTAACTCTTCCACACTCACCTGTACCGTTCTAATATTTACTGCACTGCTTTTGCATCCAGCCTTAAATACATCAGTCTGTGAAGCTACAAATACCCTGACCCGTCTGTCTGTGCTTGTTTCAGATCTCGTGTCTGCTGGGTCAGATTGAGCTGGAGGGTCGTAGACCTCCTCCGATGCCTTCTGGGAAGTTCTTGCCTTGTTTCCAGCCGTACGACCCTTCACCCGGTGCTGGGGGCTTTGTTTCTGGAAGATTCCTCACAGGCATCAAACCACAGGTACATGAAGAGAGCAGAGGCCGTGTTTTAAAGGCTTGTTTCACACTGTAGCTCCTGTTGGGTACTGGGAACCCAAATGGCACCACAAGAACGCACTCAAGCTCCTGTGAATGAGTTTAATCCAGTCACTTCAGAGATAATTCACACCTTTTCACTTTTTCACACTTTATTGCGTTGTATTTTTCTTTTCCAATTGATTGCACTGACATTTTTGTCCATCTGTCTATACTCAGTAACTGATAGTGGCAAAGTGAAAACATGTTTTTAGAAGTTTTTGCATGTATTTGCTTCTTGGGCAACAGTTTTTGGTCTTCTTGGGTGAGTCTCTGTCGGCTTTGCTCACCTGGATTTGCGGCAGTTTATCCCGTTCTTCCTGGCAGATGCCTCGAGCGTCATCAGACTGAATGACAAGTGTCTGTGAGCTGCCATCTTTCTATTTCTACACAGATGTTGTATGGGCGTTTCATGATGGGATTTGGTTGGCTGACTGTTGTGCTGAAAGGTCAATTGCTACTCAGCAAGCAGGTTTTCTTCAGGGATCTCTTTGTATATGGCTGCATTCAAACACACCCTAATAGCATGATGCTGCCGCCGCCGTACTTCACCATTGTATTAGCAGATAATGAACAATGCATGCTGTTCTTCAGATATCATGCTGGGAGCTCTGTCCCTTTTACATTTTTATCTCATCAGATGAGGAAATCTTTTTCCTTGTGCTATGAAAACAATTTGATAAAATGCCAGTTCGGCCGTCATGTGCCTTTCACTCAGCGTGACTTCCTTCTAGCTTCTGTTTTGCAAAGACAGACTTCTTTCATTTCACAGTTGATGAGGCACTGCGCTCTTAGGGACACTCCCAGCTTTAGAAATGTTTTTCTACCCCTGTCTTTATCTGTGCCTTGCTATAAGTTCATCATAGGCCTATAAAAAGTTCTTTGACTTCATGGCTCAGTGTATGTCCTGACATGCAAGGTGATTTGTTGGATATTAATAAAACCAAGTGTCTCTTTTTTTTAAAACTATGTCCAGCTTATTTAGTTCATTATTATTTTTATTACCATTGTTCAGAATAATTAAAGCAAACACAATGTGACGGACACAATGTGGAGTGTCATATCAAGGAGTCTGAATAATTTAGTAAATGAGAGACTTGCTAAATTCTCCCTGAACATGTCATTATGGGTCATTAAGTGTCGATCAATTGATTGGAAAAATGCCTATTTACCCATTTTAAAATTAAATCCACAACTCAATAAAGTATGAGAACCGAGTCAGCGCACTTTCTAAAACACCCCTACTGGGATTTTGCACCCTTGGCCTTTATATACGTTTGTGAAAACTCTCGTTACGTCATCATACATTTCTTTCCTTTACTTGAACACAATCTTCTTGTTGTTTTTAGGAGTTCTTCTTCCACTGTATGGCCGGCAGAGAAGGGCTGGTCGACACAGCTGTGAAAACATCTCGGTCAGGATATCTGCAGAGGTAACGTAAGCTTTACGTAAGCTTTTTCTTGAATAAACAGTGTAAGCGTTGACACATTTTAGTCAGTGTTTAGTTTGGACCGGACTGAAATCATAGATATGTTGGTGTCAGTGAGCGTTTCCAGACCAACTGTGAAGCTCTCTTCATCGTGCTGTTATGATCCAGCTATGATCCCAGTTGCAAAAAGTATTAGTGTGAGTTTTAGCACAATAAAGATTGAGTCCCAGCGAAACCATATTTTTATGTTTTAAGAGGGAAATGATGCTCCCACTTGGCTTTTTGCAAATTAGCATCAGTTTTTCCTCCATCCTCTCTTCTACAGATGTGTCATTAAGCACCTGGAGGGTTTGGTTGTGCAGTACGATCTGACGGTGAGGGACAGCGATGGATCGGTGGTGCAGTTCCTGTACGGTGAAGATGGACTGGACATCCCCAAGACTCAGTTCCTGCAGCCACGACAGTTTCCCTTCATCGAGGACAACTACGAGGTACGACCAAGCACGACACAAGCACGAAGCTGTCTAGTTATAAACCCAAATAACAAACCACGTATAGTTTTATTATTGTCAGATGGCGATGGCTCTTTTTGACTTTATCACATCTAGTTGTACTTTCAACTTTTTAGTCTCACTTTACAGATGCTGCAGATTGTGCAACAATGTGGTTGCCAAATGGAGCCGTGATATTTTATCTCAGATTTATATGCAGTTGGCAAATGATGCAGCATAACCGCCACATATCTGATAAACCGGTTGTGCAGTGGGTTTCATTTAAGATGCAGTGATATTTTGTGACATCTGTGTTTTTCTCAGATGGTAAATTGACACAACCGGTTTGATGTAATCTTGCTCACGACATCAGCGCTCAACAATACATCTGCTGTTTAACAGAGATCATTATCAATAACTAAAACAATGACTAAAACACACTATCTCTTGTGCTATGAGGTCTAATAATGCTGGACTATTAGCAACTGGAGGAAACATATACTATAATAACTAGGGTTGGGACTTTAGGCGGCTGTGGCTCAGGTGGTAGAGCGAGTCGGTCGTTCGATTCCGCCCTGTAACCTGTTTCATGGTCGTTGTGTCCTTAGGCAAGAGTCTTCACCCACCTTGCCTGGTGTGAATGCGTATGAATGGATTGTTTGAGGTGGTGGTCGGAGGGGCAGAATGGCAGCCAGGCCTCTGTCAGTCTGCCCCACAATTGTAGCTACCACCACCAGAATGAATGTGTGTGAATGAATAATTGACAGTGTAAAAGCGTCTTTGAGTGTCTAGAAAAGCGCTATATAAATCTGGTCTATTATTATTATTATTATTATTATTATTAATAATGCGAAAATAATGCGTTAAAGTCTCACCCCTGATATACTTTAAAGCATTAATTACGATGAATTAAATACAACAAAAACAATGGGTTAAAAAAATTGTAACATTTAGTCGCAGTTTGCATCCAGGAAACACGGAACGTTTGTCAGCGCCCGACTTCATGGTCCACCGATCACACTGATGCACAAGATGCATCGGCGCTACGCTAACAACAACAAACATGGAGGAATCCGATGAGAGTGCATCGCTTGGACTGATGGAGGGCAAGCTTCATTTAAAAAAAACTGCCTGATGGAAGCCTTGACAAGAGCGTGGTTTTGTGCAAATTGTGCAAAAACGAATTTGCATCCCACCGAAGCACATCGAGCTGACGGTGCCNCCTGAATGCAAAGCAGCGAGCACAGAAACCGCCGGAGCTGTTAGCGCTAGCAGTCCTGGATAGCCACACATTTTTTTAATTAATCGTAATTAACGTGTTAAAGTCCCACCCCTAATAACAACTTGCAAATCCGTGTGCTTCACAGGGTTTCCACAAAAGCCAACTGGCAGATCAGCTAGTGTGATAAACTGGTCTGATATTGTGCTGAAAATATGCTCTTTTAGAAGTGGGAATACTTGAGATGAACTGCTGCATTAATTTATCTGATTAACTGAAGCTAAACGCAGGAGCTAGATCGTGTGGTTTGAGCAGAATACCAGACCTGCTAATGTTAGCGAGTTACTTCCAGCTATAACATAATTATAATCTGCTCATATTTTGCTGAAAAATGTGAATTATTTACCTTTTAATGGAGCTATTAGAAAGGCTGGTGCATGCATCCTAATATATTTACACCATAGGTTTACTCTTTAATGTCAGTAACTAGTCGCCGATTCAGACGTAGGTGTTTGCAAGTTGCAGTGTTTTGCATGTTGTCGTTCTGCTTTTGAACTCGTGGTGACCATAAACCGCCGAGGACATTCCCACATGCCAGATTCCAGTTCAACGCCTGTTTTTTCAGTTATTCTTACGTAGTGAGTAAGTTCTGCGAAACCACAGACAGTTTCAGCCACAGCTTCTGAGGATGTTGTCGAGCGATTTGAACACCAAGACCTTTGACTGAGCGAAGCAAAAGGCTTCACAACACATGAGCATATGGAAGGTTTGCAGCCTTGTCAAATTCAGTGCTTCCCCCTCAGTGGAAGCCACTGGCCAAAACGGCTGCCACAGTGACGGCGTAGTTCATGGGCCTCACGGTGCTCCAACTTGGCCGCTGAGGATAAATGTGTACTACACACAAACGGTATTATTGTGCAGTTTCCAGGACAAATGTTCAGTATCGCCACTTTAATCCACTCATCTGAGGTTTTAAAAAAATAAATATCAAGCTTGTAATTATGCAAAAAATCTCAAATATATGAATATTTTTCTTTAAAATAAATAGTTTA